TTCCAAAGTCTTTTTTCCAGTTTCAGTGAACAGCCCCAGCATGCATCTATCCTCATGGCAAGTCTTCCTCGATGCCATCTCCATCATTTCTCCATCTCCACTTAGTCTATCACACCAAGTCAGCCTGATCCATTCTTTTCCTACAATGTACCTCAAATCTACAGAATCTTCTCCATCTCTACTCGCGCCACCATCCTACAGAACAGCTACGGCCTCCTACTTATCTCCCGGCTTTCTCTCCTGTTCACTTCCTAGCAAGCCCTCTGGCCCCACCCTACACAGCAGCAAGCCTGAGCTTTGAAAAAACTAACCTGATCATATTTCCCCCCTGATCAAAATCCTTTAATGGTTTTCGATCCATCATTGGATAAGGTCCAAACTCCTTATGGTCAACAAGGTTCAACGTGACCTAATCCCTAAATACCTCTCCAGTTTCTTTTCTGCAACATTATGAATATTTTTGAACAGATAGCAAAGTTGAAAAATTACAGTGAATATCCACTGACTGATCGCCTGGATTCTACCATTAACATTTTATATTTGTTCTATCATCTGCTTGTCTATTTATCCATTCCTCTCCCCTAATACTAATCTTTCTTGGTTTGGTCCATTCCAAAGTAAACTACAGGCTTCAGTCTCATTGTCACCCCTCTTCCTCTTGTTCCCTACACTCAGCCCTAGGCATTTTCTCATTCCTTGAATCTGTCAGACTATTTTATATCTCTGCTCTTTGGACCTACTGTCCCTTCTACTTGAAATGTCTTCAGCTCCTGTTCATTCCTGACTTATCCCTTGCTTTTCAGCTTACACTTTGTGTGAGGCAGTCCCTGAGCCTCAATCTAAATTAGATTTACCTTTCTGCTTTACAAATCATCTCAAGGCTTTTCCTGAATATCACTTGTCACAATTGGAAGCTACATAATTCTTTGGAAAATTGTTTGTTTAATGTCTACCTCTTCCACCAGATTTCAAACTCCATGAGAACAGACACAGCGTACTGGAGTGTGCAGGATCACTTCTGCAGAAAGTCAGTTAATAGTTGTTGAAGGAATTAAAGTCAGAAAGCATCAACAGTTACATAATAATAATAATGATATCATATTAATATAATAACTATACATAGACTAAGTGAATTTGCTCTTCTTCAAAAATATGTACAAGCAGTATGGGTTTTTTAAGGCCTCTAAGGGGAAAATGGAACTTGCTGCCAGAATATAACCAGCAAGTTATTTCTGTAACATATTATGGAAAAACCTGAATGAACTTTTCAGCCAACCCAATACATTAAGGCAAATTGCCTAGAGGCTATCCACAGCTAGTGGAGAAGTCAAGAAGAGACTGTGGTGGGTTTTAGGGACATATCTCCTATCTCCACTAGCTCTTCCCTCAAGATCACTCCAAATCAACAACAATGCAAGGAAAAACATTGTGCTTGCAATGCAAATGCAGTTTAAGTAATAATAACAACAGCTGTAATTACTGAGAGCACCTATCAAGGTCTGGCTTTGTATTAGGCACTTTCTTGAGTGTTTTTCCTTCATTGAAAATGAAAGTCTCTCAGTCAAGCCCAACTCTTTGCGACCCCAACGACTATAGATCTTTTTCCCCCTGTGGTGTAGGTTCTGCTGTTATTCCCATTTTATGGCTAAGGAAATTGAGAAAAGAATAGTTATTTTTAAACAACAAATTATCTGACTTCTCCTTCTAACCAGATTGCCATTCCCGTGAACTCCTCCTAGGTACAATATTTATTCTGCCCCATGAGAACATAAGTATTAATCTAGAAAACTCTGATTGTGCTATTGGAGAGGGAGTTTTAGTTGGTTCTAACAAGTCAAAAAGATAGAAAGCCAACCCTACCGATTGGGGGGGTTATACATTTTCCTCATGTATAACCCTATAGGCACATTTTCAAATGATCCCTGCAAAGAATTTTCCCTCAGATGGGAACACTATTTACACACAGAGATAAACCACTGTGATCTTCCTCATAACAGGAGCTAATAGTTAAAGAAAAATGAAGCTGTGCAGAATTTCCTAATAGAAGAGCACATCAGACAGTCTTGAGTCGGAAGACAAATTTTACCCTGCCTGTGTGATCTTGACTAATTAGTGTCATCTCTGGGCCTCAGTTGCTCAGTTTTCTTATTAAAAATGGAAATCACAAGATCCACTTAACTGGGTATGGACATATTGAAACACTACTTACAAAAAGCTCAGTGTGTATAGTGCTTGGAAAAGAGAGATGCTCAAAGATAGCAACTTCTAAAAAGGGAGAAAAAGGAAAAGGGAGATGAAGATGGTAACTTCATACTCAGAACAAAAGAAAAGTTGTAAGAAATGTTTTAAATAAATACACATCACGCATTCTTTTCCCACAGAGAGAGAGAGAAAGACAGAAAAGCTTGGGAAAAGTGTCCTTTAGTATTTGCATTGCTCTTAGCTGGATGAACTTGCCTGCAGCTACCACTTATAATGCAAATTGAGCTTGGAGTCCTTCACACTAACTACACAGCAAAAACCTTTCAGCTTTAAATAGAATACTGCAGTGTGGAATGATCCAAGCAAAGGGAAGAAAAATTCAGACATAAATGCAAAGGAAATTTTGCAGGAAAAAAGAAAGCTGACATATCTGGGCAAGACAGGAAAATGCAGAAATATAAAAAAAGACAAAAGGAAAAGCAAAGTCTGTAGAAGGACCTAGAAACTAATTCCCCAGAAGGTGGGTTTCAGTTAAAAAAGAGGAAGAGAACTTTGGGGCAAGTCCCCAAATGCAGAGGATTTTAACAATGAATATTTTGATCTAGCAGTGTTCCTTCAAGGTGTACTAGCACTTTTGAGGTATTTATCAGAAGAGGAAGGATGCTCTTTTGATGAATAAAATGCAATTGGGAATTGCACGTAAAAAGACAACTTACATTGTTTAAGTACCATTTTTTTCTTCCCAGACTTTCACTAAGCTCAGGTAAAAAAAAAAAAAAAAAACCAAAAACCTTGAAAATGTACTGTGAAATAAAGGTTTGTTTAATTTTGAATGTAGTGGCACCGGAGTTGCAGTGGGGAAAGTGATCCAAGGAGGCTAATTTGGAAAGATTTTAGAAAATTCTTTGCTATAAACTCTACCTCATTTTGGGCTATATAAACCCAAATATTTTATCTGCAATCAGAGTCTTCCAAAATGGCATCAGAGAGGAACAAAGATTAGGTCTATCTAAGGCCCTGAAAGCAATGAGGAATGCCATGTTTAACTCATTTCTTCATTTTACAGATGATACTCCTACACACATGACCTCAATTTTCCCATCTTCCTAGCTCAGTAAGTTTCTTTTGCCTGCACTTGGAGGCATAAGGCAATACAGAAGAAAACGTCAAAGCAACCCTCTGTCTTTGTTGTCACAAACACACACACAAAAGTGTGCCCCCAAAGACAATGGACCCAAAGCCAACTTCTCTTTGGACGCTATGCTCAGACCCAGAGCTGATCATATGCTAGCTGGTGAGTCAGTGACAAAGCACTAAGACCAGGGAAGACCATCGAACAATCATGTTGTCACCAGGCAAGTAAAAAGACTCGGTAAGCATGGTGCTTGATGTGGGGCAGGGACAAGCTAAACATCTTAAAAGCCACCTCTAACCTCTTGAAGGCCAGAGCTCACACAGCTCTGCTTGATTTGTCTAGAATCACGGACATATTAGGCGTGATGCTCTCCAATAATGATGATGAATAAAGCATATATTTTCAAAGCGCTGAGCATTCTATCTGAAACTTTCAGGGATGTTTATAGAAGATGCCACCTTTACCCCTAAACTGTTTGTCTTTTTCTTTTCAGAACTTGAACTCTTTACCACCCCCATCCACATTTCTCTAGTAGTCTTGATGTGATTAAATGTGACAGAAATTTTAGCATCCAATAGTAGGAATCATCTGAAATGAACATGCCTTGCTACATGTTCCTAAAACCCTTTCACACACATTTTCTCACGTGGGTATTACAATGTGACGATGCAACACTGTACAGGAGTGCTTAAGGATAAAGGCTGACAGGTAGAAAATGAAAGCAAAAATGCAAAAGTTTTGGTATTTGGAAAAAATGCCCCCACTCTCTATTCCCACACAAAAGGCAAATGAGATTCCACCTGCTGACTTTCCTTTTCTGCCCGTACCTCACTCAGGCTAATGTCAGAACAAGCTGGGGGAAACGGTGAGAGAGAGAGAGAGAGAGAAAGGGAGGGAGAGAGGGAGAGAGAGATACGACAATTTCACCTCTTGGCAAAGCTCAGCTTACTGAACCCTCTTGCTTTCTGCTGGCTGTTGATTCAGCAGAAACTACTGCTGCAGAATTCATAATGGTGATTTTTAAAGGCCCCACTGATCGCATTGCTCGCCCCACGTGTCAGACTCATTCACTCGCCCGCCCCAACACGGTTTCCCGAGCCACCTTTTTATATCTTGCTAATGCACTTCCAAGGGGAGAGAGGTTCGCCCTTTATGAACGGGCCTTTTGGGCTTTTGATTGTCTAAGCAGGTAACCCGGCCGGGGAGATTAACGGGCAGGAAATGAAACCATGCCCTCCCTTGCAGCCACTGAGACACATCATTCCGCTCGGGGAGACGAGGACCCAGGGTCTTCTTGGGCCCTCTTCTTTCTTACCTATCCCCCACTCCACCGGCCCCTGCATATATATTCGGAGAGGGTCATCTGCTTTTGGGGGCAGGAGTCATTTTTCCAGCCGGGAGCCCCACCCTGAAAAACCTCACCCCCGAGGGCCATTTTAACTCCCGTGGGCGCCGGGTCCACCTGCTGCTGAACACCCAGCTCGCCTCGCCGAGCCCGGATGGATGTGGGGCGCCCGGGCAGCTGCCCCTGCGGGCCGAGCCCCCGCCCCAGCCCCGGGGCCCGGAGGAGTCTGCGCCGCTACGCGCCCTGCCGCCCGCGGAGCTCAGCGATCCGCAACTTGCGCCCGGCCCCAGCGGCGGAATGCGGTGGGGCTGGCGTTACCTTCGGTCGCATAGCTGTGGTCGCGCAGGAAACTGTTGTTGATTTTGCGGGTATCAATGTCCTCCTCCATTGACAGCAGGCTTACTTGCGTGGGAACCAGAAGCCGGCAGACAAGTATCCATGTTCCCTCCCCGCAGCCAGTCTCACAGGAGAGGGGGGCAGGGGAGCCAGTGGGACTGCACCATGGTCCGAGCCTGAGGAGGAGACGGGGGAGGCGGAGAGAGAAAAAAAATAAAAACCCGGCAATGGAGCTGTCACCTCCTCCGCCCGGGATCTCCGAGGCTGCGGCGGCTCCTCCCGCGGTGCGCTCACTCCAGCTCCAATTCCCAGCGAGGATGCTGCGCCTGCCTCCGCCGCCTCCGCCTCTGGGGTGCCAAGATGCGCCGTGCCCCGAGGGGTCTGGTCCCGCCCGCCGCCCCAGGAGGCGCTCACAGGCCGGGCTGGGGAGATGCCCAACAGGTTCCCCTCATTGGCAGCCGCTCCGAAATGCAAAAAAGATCCCTCCTCCCCCCTGGGAGAGCGGGCAGCCACGACAAAATGGTGCCTTTCTGGACCCGAGCTGCAGTGGCGAGATGGCAGGGGCAGGGTTCAGGCTGGCCCGGCCCGGAGGAGGGTGCTGGTCCCACGGGAGGGCGGCTCCGGCTGGCGGGGGCTCGGCAGCCGGCGGGGAGCTGGGCAGGGCGCTCGGCGGCCGGCGCCAGCGCACTCACCCTCACACCCACACGCGCGCACTCGCAGCTGCTGCTGCTGCTGCTGCTGCAGGAGGCTGGAGGCGGCTGGTGCATTAAAGGCGAGGCTCCTCCCAACCGCGTCAGCAGCCCCAGGACTCTTTCCCCAGCAGCGGCGGTGGCCGAGGCAGAGGCTGCGGCTGCTCTCTGCTGCAGTGGGGCGCACGCAGCCGCCAACCCGCACCTGGGCAGCGAGCATCCAGCTCCGCAGGTTGACGTGAAAAGCGTAGACGCGCTCTTCCGACCTCCCTCCCCGCCCAGCGCCACGCAGCTCAGGGCGGCGTTTACTCCAGCACCCAGAGTCCCCTAGCTCACCGCCTTTCTTCAGACACCTGTGCTCCAGGATAGCAAAGAGAAGGTTCCCTTGAGCAAGCAGGAAGCCTACATCCCGGCCTCTTTTGCTCACCCTTCTATCAAGCACACGGTCCCTGGACGAAGGTCAAGGGTGAGGCCTGGGGTTTGAAGCCTCACCCAGAGAGGAGAGAATGCTCAGAGCCTAGCTTAAGCCCTTCTCTGGGTTAGGAATAAATGGGGAATCAGAGACCAGAACTTTTCTGCGGATCACACCTGACTCTTCCCTTTCAAAGAGAGTCAAAAATATCTTTTAACTGGGGGTGTCTAAGTCTATACTAGCAGAGGGAGGAAGAGGGTCGAATTATGAATCTAGTCAACATGCTCTGAAAAAGTCCATATTCCCTAACCCTTTGCACTCAGTTTTGGTCAAACTGCTCCAGCCCCTCCGGTGGGTTTTGCTTGCTAAGACATAGCACTGCAGGAACCTCTGACTTTTGCTCTCCCGGTGAAAAGTACATTGGAGCCCAGTGCCCCCAGAGCGCCACTGTTTCCCAGGGGGAATTTCAAAGATCCAATGAATACCAAAAAGTGGCCTGTCTTCCCACTTCAGCTAGGAAGAAAATACAGAAGTCCGCCCCGCCCCCAATTTTTCCTGAATTGCCAAATCACAGATTTCATATTTGAAAGAAAATGAGACCATGACTGTTATGAAACAACAATCATTTCTGAAGCAACCCAAATCACTAGAAAGTCAATTTGGACAAGAAATGTCCCCGATTTCCTCGTATTCATTTCAGTGAGCGTCACTGCAGGGGAGAGACATCAGCGAATGTTTTGCTCAGTTAAGCTCCACAAGTTTAGCTGGATGAGCCCAGAGGGATCTGTGAGTTAATTATATACATACAATGCTTCGGCTAACACAATTTAGACGGTATTTGAAGTTCAAAAAAAAAACCGGAAAACAAGTCCTTAACTGAGGTTGGGAATTGCCATTAGACTTCCATGAAGAAAACATTCTTCTGGCAGGTAGAAAATGGCAAGGTCCTCATCTCCAGAAACCAACCACTTATCTCTGGGAGAAGATAGGAGAAATATTCTTTGATATATAATATTCAGCTTACAAAAGATTCCATTTAATTCTTATCTGGTAATTAAGTCTTCCCTACTTCTTTGACTGTGTGTGCCAAATTCACATATGAAATTCCAGGAAGAGATGAAGACTGATGTACAAATTGATGTAATCCACTCCAGTGCCAGTTGCCATGGCTGGTTCTTCCACGTTATGAGTCGTATCCATCACCAAGACTCCAGTGGTCAGCTCATCTGTAGTTATACAGTCCAGTTTCTCTTGCAGATTGGNTGGCATAAGGGGGTGGGGGGGGGGAGAGGGGAAAAGCTAAATTCATCTTAAAGTGGTGAGAAGACATCTTGCTTTGAGTCAAAATGACCCTCACTTGCCACTGGAGACCTTGGAGTAGTATTTGAGATGAAAAGTGAAAGTGTTAGTCGCTCAGTTGTGTCTGACTCTCCGCAACCGCATGGACTGTAGCCTGCCAGGCTCCTCAGTTCATAGCATTCTTCAGGCAAGAATACTGGAGTGGATAGCCATTCCCTTCTCCAGGGGATCTTCATAGCCCAAAGGATTGAACCCAGGTCTCCCACATTGCAGGTAAATTATTTACTGTCTGAGTCACCACGAAGCTATTCTTTCCCATATCTTCCCAGGAGGTGGGCTATATTGGAACAGAGTTACAAGATCAATCAGGAAGGCCCAGGTTTGTTAGCCAGGCTATGCCTGAGAAATCTTCCACTGTAACCAATTGCAAAAGGGTCCCTGCCAGAGATCAGACCTCTCGGTTTACTAAATTTTTCCTTTCCTGTTTTCTGCAAAATCCCTCTTGCATTTATTTTATCCAATAGTATAGACAAGTTTTTTTCTTAAGACACAAGTTGTGGGAAGGCAAATTAGATGGCTATCCATTAAGTAGATTAAGTAGACTCCAAGATTTCTATTTTGTGAACCATTCTTTTCTACTATGGACAGTGGGGAACTAGCCCCTCCAACCAAAACCAAGAAAAATACACCTGTTGGCTTTGTTCTATAACACAACAATGTGCAATAAAGGAGGTCAGGAAGTGAAGGAAGCCCTGTGCAATCCTGTGGTTGTAAGAGGACTACACAGGCCATTTCTCAGAAGACTCACTGACCTTCTTTCTGTTCCTCCAACATGTCAAGTTCTTTCTAAAACCTTTTGTCATTTGCCCATGCCATTCATTTCCTATCCCTTCCCTGTGTTCCTGGCATTCTTCAGCGTTGCAGCTGATCTGTCCCTACTTTACTGAAGCATTTCTTGCCCTCCCCATGGCCCCTTCCTTTGGAATTTTTTACCTGTACATGTGTTTCTTCTTCTTCATGGAACATTTGCATTTTGTACTAGTTGTTTACTTATAATTGTCAACCATTCCACTATATCTCTGCTATTAAGTGTCTAGCACTTAGTAGATGCTCAATTATATTTACCGAATGGAGATAAATATTTCGTAAATGAATGAGTAAATTACTGAATTTGTTCAGTGATATTTAGGTTTCAAAGCTATACTTTTATTAAAATTCTTGCCCAACAAGAAACTGTTGTGAGTGAGTAAATCTCTAGATTGTAATGCCTATCCCTATTGGAAACAATTGTCCTACCCATTTCTGTATGCATAGGCACTGAAAATACTTACTGAGCACTTAATCTATGACAAGAATTTTTGTAGGTATTGCAATACAGTTAGAACAGAGTTCCTTTCTTTCACAAAACTGAAATTCTATCATCTGATTTTAGAAATATGAGCTTTCTTAGAAATACAACAGTGCATTATAAATTAACAGACTAGAGTATAATATTAAGTGCCAAGGCTCTGCTATCAAGCAAAACTGATTTTCTGCCATTTATTATTATGTCCTTGAGCAAAGTTACAAGATTTCCCAACCTATTTTTTTAATCTATAAATTAGAAAGAAAAATAATACTACTTAATGGAGTTTCTTTGATGATCAAATGAGACAATACTTGGAAAGAATATATTGCTATGACTTGTTGGGTATTTACTATCATTATCACTGTCAATATTGAACAAATATTTAAGCACCTACCATGTCGGCCACTGGGATAGGTCTAGGGTTTCAGCAATATCAGTGCTGAAAATGTATTGTCATCTCTGCTGTCATGGAACTTAGTATCTAATTTATGGTTTATGGAAAGGGGGGCCACAGGCTGCAGAAGTGGCAGCAAAGAACACTCTGAAAGGCTGACCAAATCCAGGCTTGTGCTGTACACAGAAAAGGCCAGTTACAAACACACAGCCCTCTTAAGTTACACAATGCATCATGGCAGCACTGGAAAGCATTCTTTTTTTCATCATCTTTCATATGTTTCCCCCCTCCCTCAACACTCACATACCCCCAGCCCAGTTAGGTTAGCACTGCCTACATTGGAAACCCTTTGTAGGACATGCTATCCAATTAGCACATTAAATATCTACAATTTTATTAAAACCTTTGACTTAAGCCAGTCTAGAGATTCTTAATATAGGCTTCAGGTGTCAGACAGGCCTGGTTTTCTGTCTCAGCTCAGGCATTTATGAATTTCATGACCTTTGGCAAGTAATTCAACATCTCTGAGCCTTTGTATTTGCAACACTGAAAGAAAATAATAGGAACCACTTCATAGGATTGTTGAGTGGCTTCAGAGATTGTGTAAGGAAAGTGCTTAATACAAGCTTGGCCCATAGCCAGGCCTCACTAAAAGGTCCCTTTGGCCTCCTGGTAGTGGCTCATTGGGGTCTCTGTCAGCAGAGAATTGGAGAGATGCACTACCAGTCAGTCAGATGTGTGGACACAAGTGACCTAGAAACCTGAGTTTAACCACCTAGCAATCGTCTTAATGAGCCCTAGTCACTCCTCACTGTCTTATAAAAAGCCCTTTATAAGCCAGGAAGTCCTGTGCAAAGGGAAGGAATTAGAATTATGTTTTCTTGATTTTCACATATGTAAGTACAGACCTAATCAAGTTTGTCCATCAGGGAATCCTGTGGAATCCCTCTCTAGATCACTGAGCCCCAAATGTCTCTCTGAGATGGTTTGCCACGACCGCCCAGAGGATGACCTCTTGAGTTTCTAGCAAGGTTTGCCATTCCTTTTTGAGCGTGTTACAGCATGTAATAAATACCACATGAGTGAACCTTTAGCAAGGCATTTAACCTAGGAGATGAAAACAAAACATCTTGTTCTCAAAATGTATTAATTCTGGCTTCTGGATATACTTAATGGATTTCACTGAGTACCATGTTTCCTCAGTATCCAAGTACAGAAACTTATGAAAATAAACACTTGTATGCAGGAGCTGGGAGGTGCTGGCTGTTGACAGCTGACTGTGTCGATTATACACATCTTTTTATCCAGCTGTGTTTCAAGTGACATCATGTTGGTAGCTTAAAATCTGAAATCTGCCATGGTGGGATATTTATATCATAGAAGTAAAAAAAAACCCAAACCTACATAAATCAGTGCGTTGACTTTGGGGCTGGGGTGGCAGAGAACTGATTTGTAAACATTTACTACTATAGCCAGTTGAAACATATGAATTGTTGATATATCTTTCTACTTACATGTGTTATTCTATACAAAGTTCCTTTCAGTTCCTCAACACTCAATCTCCCAAACTGTCAAATTTCAGAACATTTCACTATTCGATCAAATATCTTTTAAAAATCCTACCTT